TTTAATTCATCAAAGCTTGATTGAATTCTTTACTTTCACCGCATGCTGACTACAAATATGTCATTGCTAGCTGTTCTTCGCGCCCACCGTTGCGGTCGTCTTCGACCTCCACCACTATGTGCCACTGTCTACTATTGCCAGTCGTCACCACTTGCACACATACATTTGTCGCAGTCTATTACTGATATCCAATCACCTTTCCCCATCATCGACGTCGTCGTCACCTATAACAACTAGCCACCACCATCACTTTTATCCTTTACATTGCATTCATTTTACTTCAAATCAAATAAAAAAAAAATTAAATTATTCTTTTTATACCATCCAAAACAGCTTATAAATATTTCAAATACAAAAATTCTATACCTTTATATATATATTATATATAATATATATAATATATTATATATATATATAATATATATATATATATATACTGTGTATTCTTTTTTTTTAGCAAATAAAACAACTTCTTTAAGCCAGTATATGAGAGAAAATTATATCGAAGATATTTTAATACAAAATGCATTAAAACAAATTTTAAATAATTTAATTTTTTAAAATTATACTGTATGTAATATTCTAAATTATATTAATTTCATATTAAAATATTATGAATATAATTTTTGTATACAACGAAAGATTTGATTGCTGTTGAATATAATTTCGATTTAGTCGCACCGCAGCAGCACGGCATCGCAAACGATGAAGAAACAGCTGAGAGAGATTCCCCCGTGACACGTCATTTGTGGTTTCCACCATATCCTAAAATAAAGTCCGCGATGGAGCCTCTCGTCGTCTTCTGTGCGGCAGGTAAGGAACACAGCTCTACGTCCAAAGACCAAATAAAGAATATGTCGTATCAGATTGCAACTGAGTCTCTCTACCGACAAGTTACCTGAAGGCACGATTACTGAGAAGAAGGTGAGTGTGCGCATTCTGGTTTGGTCTCCAGCTATAGCATTCCGATAATGTCCGCCACTGAATAATTAATTCCCCAAAAGAAGTCAAAGTGATAAAAATCTCTTCTTTGGTTCAGATGCATTTCTACTGGTTATAAATAGTCTGTTTTTTTTGGCAAATATTATATAAAATCTTAACTGCTAATAAAATATCATTTCAATATTTCCATTTTTCAATAATAATCAAATATTATTAATTTAATAACAAATCAAAATTTTTATATTATTATAATTAATAATACAACACATGTTGACTATGTTGAGTCTATAGTGTTGGAGGAAACTAGATTTACAAATAAGAAATAGGAAGCCTTGACTGCGCTATGAACATGGATGGAGAATGTGAAGATTTATAGGGGTTGTTTGGTTGGAGGAAAAGAGATGCAATTGATTTCTTACTGGCTTTTTTAAAATTGTTGTTGAGTAAATTTAATTGTTTTAACATATATTATAGAAATATCTTCTTAGTACATTTTTTTAAAATAAATAAAAAATAATAGCCAATAAAAATTAAAATTGAAGTCTCAAAAATAAAATAGTAAAAAAAATTATTCCAAATGAAGCTTAAATCTCAATCATTATATATGAATTAGACGTACATACAACCAATGTTATGAAATCGAACGAAACAACGAACCGGAAAAAGAAGAGATTCACGATTAGATAGTTCAACCAGGATGGAACCAAAATGATGCAATAAATACAAATTTATTAAAAAAATAATTAAAAACCCATAATAATGATGCTACACCAATTTTCAATTCTTCTCCAAACAAATCATCATATTTATCATTGTAAAAAATAGTTTGTAAACATGATTTCCATTTATTATGAGTAACGCTATTATTTCCAGTTGTACATATTTATTAGCATTATTAATCTACGAATTGGATTCAAAATATCTAATCATATTGTGTCTTTTAGGCCTTCGACAAAATAGAGAGCTGCGAGTGAGCGAGGGTGCTAAAACTCGCGAACACTGTGCTGGGGAGGGAAAATTATTACGTCCGGTGATCAGATTCATCCGGACATCAATCCAGACGTGCCACATCACTCAGATACACCCGGGCCCATTATATCCGGGTGACGTGGCACGTCTGGATTGGTGTCTGAACGTTCGGTGACGTGGACATAATAATTCGCCACTCGGGAGACACTGACGATCTGGGAGAGAAAGGAGAGAGCTACTGAGGTCGCTTTGTTTTAGGGTTTGAGACTATATAGTTTTATTGATATTGAAGTGATTTCGCAATTTTCACCATCAGATGTGTAATCAATCGCTCACAATTGGTAAATTTTGAACCTCACAATTCTTTTCTACACAGTTGGTCCTCCGGTTATATTAGGATCTTCGATGAGAGGAAGAAGAACTTCTCTCTTGATCTTGGAGAGGAGGGAGAGAGCTGAATCAAATCCTTTATTGCTTTACCATACCCTATTACAACCTAAAGCTCCTATTTATAAGCACAAAATAGCATCTTAGAAAGCTACATTAATGACTATACAAACCATACAAGAAACAACCTAAACCTAGGACCAATATCTAATAGGATATCGGGTTTAACCGGGGCTTCAACCAATTTTTTTCCCCAATTTGATGCAAACATATTTTAATTATATATAGGAAGCGGACCGGCTGCATGATCGGTTCCCGATTGAATCGATCGATCTGATACGCTTTTTTAAACCTTGCATACAACACTTACTACACCTATGCTATATTTTGAGATTATGAGAGATATCTCGATACAAATTTTACAACAACATCAAATCTTTATCCACTATGTGCAGTCAGCTGCATGAATCCTTTTTTCCAATTGTGCCTTGTTTAAAATTAAAATATCATTTAAAAAATATTAAGATGAATTTAAAATTATTTCTTTTAAAATTAATTTAATAAAAAATCTTCATTGAAAATTGATTAGCTTATTCACTATAAAGAAGGGAACATTATATATTATATATATATATATATATATATATTATATATATATATATATATATATATATATATATATAACATTTGATATCATAATAAAATTATTTTTATAACATTTGTTTTTAATTTAATGTAAATGTCATCATTCAATATAATTAAACTATTAGTTAATATAATTAAACCTGGATAAAATATTTAAACGGTTAGATAATACAATTTTTTGTATGCCATGAGTTCTATTATAATTCTAATATTTTGGAAAGAGTTATTTGGTCAAATCCCAAAAATCATTTGATCTTGAGCTAATTCAACATAAAACGATCATAAAGTTAGTGTTTTTTTTAGCTTAAACTAAACTTGTCATACAAGAATAGTATTAGAACTATTTTGATATATGTTTATTTTTAATTTTGGGTTAAATTTTAAAAATTGTCCATTTTCTGTGGTCATTTTAGTCCCAGATTATAACATTACTTTAATTTAGTCATCGACTACACTAATTAATCTTAAATAGTCTCTTTGAGACTAATGTTTCATTTGTGATAACTTTCTTACTGCTTTCCAAAGCATTTATTTTAGTACAAAAACTTATAATTTAAGGCTTCGTTTGGGACAGCTTTCTTACTGTTTCTTAAAGCAACTTTTCAGTACAAAATTTTTACTTTTTGTACTAAAAAAATGTTTTAAAAAGTAGAAAGAAAGTTGTCCCAAACAAAGCCTAAAAAAAATGTATTAAAAAACTGCTTTTAAAAGTAGCAAGATAAATGTCCCAAATGAAGCCTAAAATGAATCAATTTTATAAAATTGAGCGATTAAATTGAGATCAATTTTATATTACAACTATAACGTGAGAGATTGTTTTGAATTAACTTTGTATAATCGATGAACTAAATTAAGGCAACATGATCCTCTGTGACTAAATTGGCCAACATGAATATTTTAAAATTTTATAAAAATTTTAAAACAACCAATAAGGAGATTGCAAACTAACATTCATAGTGTCATAGCACAAAAATCACTATCCAACTATAGCAAATTAATTCCAACCAAAATGCTTTGACTCAAATAGTCAAATGGTATAATCCTTAATTTCAAATATATTAATGTTAGATTAATGATTGGATTTTTTATTTCCAAAGAACTTATAGCAGATATAAAGATGATGAAGATTATTCTATTTAAGATTCAGGTATTAATCAGGCAATTAAATATTGTTTAAGCTAATCCACAATTGATTAAGTGCTAATTTGCAGTTAAATACCTACGTTTATCCGAACTTCAATCACACGAAGACACGTGAAATCCGCGTATTCACATGATTAAAATCAAAATGAAAAATACCGTCCAGATTTAGCACGTAATAATTTCTCTTGTTTTACAAGATTTCCTTCTATCAAAATACAAGTAGGTAGGATGAACAACTATAAAAGAAAGCTATAAGGAACTAGGATTTTTTTTAGTTTAAATTTTATTTTTAAAAACAAGCTGAGTTGTTAAGAAAATTAGGAAATACATTTTAAATATTTGTAACCTTTTAAAATAAATATTTAGATTTCAAGAAGCAGCCTGTTTTCAATTTGGCGTAATTAGAAGCACACAAAACCTATAGCCACCACTAAACCAAGTAATAAATTTTAATATTTAAAAAAATAAATTTAGATAAACCAAATCAAAATAAGAAGAATAATTATTCTAAGATACAATTATTTGTAGATTCTATTCAAAATTTTAAAAAATATATAGTAATCCATATATATAATATTAATAATAAAATATTAAAAAGGTCTAATGAAAATATTATATATTTTTTAATTATTGAATTTTAATAATAAATAAAAAGCAAAGTTGGAACCCTTAAGTTTTTTTTTCTTTTTTAAATTTTGTAAACATTAAGTGCAAAATTAAAATCAAATAGATTTCAATCCAAGGAATATCTTAAAAAACAAAACAAATAATAAAAAATATTTATAAAAAATTGAGATAGAATATCACAATCTAAATAAGGTTAAAAATCATTAAGCTTACTTGAAATAAATATAATAACAATAAAAAATTCATACTATATTTAACTCAAAGAAATTCAATAACACTAATAAGAATATCTGAAACTTTTTTTTTTTTTTTCAATAGAAATCCCAAACAGCCCCAAAGGGGATTTCATCCAAAAGAATGAGCCTTCTTCTTGAAAGCGTTTACAGTGAATAAAACCCTAATTACTTGAGGCTTCCAGTTGTGCAAAGCATCAAGAGAATAATAAAGCTCACTCATGAAATGCAAGCCTATAGTTATAATTTCAATTACTCTCTCTCTCTCTCTTCTTTGAGAAGAAAAAGTATAGGTTACAGAGATTCAAGTATATGAAAGGTATGAAATAGGAAAATAAAATAAACTGGATTTCATGTTGTTTTCTCATACCTGTAGCAGAACTGCAAGCATTGGCCATGATGCTTCTATCAAATTTGAATTTGGCTGATTCTTTATTTTTTTAAGAAACTAAGCTCCTTCAAGTAAATAGTTGCAATTCGGATGTTCAGCAAGTATATCACTGGAAATGAGAATAAATTGTAAGTTGACACAATCATTCTAAATGCCTGCAATAAACAGCTGAAATTATGATGTTATAGGTTTTTTAAAGAAAGATTAAGGCTTCGTTTGGGACGGTTTTCTTAATGCTTTACACAAACTAAAAAATTTTCTACTAGAAAGCTGTTTTAAGAAGAAGTAAGATAGCCGTCGCAAACAAAGGTTTGGGGCGGCTTTCTTACTGCTTCTTAAAGCAGCTTTTTAGTACAAAAATTAAAATTTCTATACTAGAAAGCCGCTTTAAGAAGCAATAAGAAAGCAATCCCAAACGAAATCTAAGGCTTCATTTTGGACGGCTTTCTTACTGCTTCTTAATTTTTGTACTAGAAAACTGCTTTAGAAAGCAGTAAGAAAGTCGTCACAAACGAAACCCAACAGAATTTTTGACCGGAACAGAATTGGGGACCGGTGTATTCTACCAGGACCTTGCATGCGCATTAGGCAGGATCATTACATGATCATTTTGGCTAATAGACAAAAATAGCAAACTGTTTTACACATTTTACCTACTCAATCACATAAAACTGCCCACATAACAATGAGTATTCAGACAATATGAATCATGTAATGCAGTAATTTGAAGTTGGTGCCATCAGCAAAGACTGTAGAAATCTTAATAAAAGATCATTTATTCAGAAAATAGGTGATTGTGTATAGATTGTGTTAAAATTCTAATAACATAAATCTTCGTTGCTTCTGTTAGATTGTGTTTGGCTCGAAAAATAGCTCAGCTAAGCAAGTTTTAAGATGCTCGTGTGTTTAACAAGCAAGCTCAATAATATATTGATTACGTTTACATATATGCCTAAGAATATGCATGTATATAATGTGTACGAGTATGTATGAGTTTATATGTGCATGTACATGAGTAGAATGTGTACATGGATATCCATAAATTTACATTTGTATAAATATATGTAAATATATCATAATGACATGTATATTCTATAATTTATTTATAACTATAAATAAATTACCGAGCCAAAAAAACTGGCTAGTTTGCGTAACGGGCCGAGCTGAAACACTTAAAGAGCTCGCTCAAGATCGGATCGTTTGCAATCTTAGAAATAACTTGAGCCAGTATATTAACCAGTTCAAAAAGTTTGCAGTGTTTAGTGCCAGAAATTATAGAACAGAAAATGTAATTTGAGCTAGAATATTTCTTCATAAATTTTAATAATCTTATTTCCTGAAAAAAATTAAGATTAAATGCCATCCAGTGAAACAGAAAGAAAAAGAAGAAAACATAAGTAACAACTCTGACATACCTTGCCAAGTGTGAAGTGAATAAACAGCACCGGAGGGAGAAAACCCGGTGATTAGCTTCATTATCAGTTTCCACAATAAATGATAAGAAATGGCATGGCCAAACCTAGAACCATGAGAGGGCACTTCCCACTGTCCGAAAACTAGGAAAGCAGAGCATTCCTCTTGATTGCCAGAAATGAAAGAATCTATGATCTCAAAGTAGCTCAAAACTTGATGTGCTCATTTGTTTGTATAACTGTCTTGAATATGACAGCAATTTCAACATAGTTGGAGGAGGAACTATGATAGTTTTAAAGGCTTACAGAAAAATAAATCGTCGGAATAATAGAGTTTTGAGAATCGAAGAAAATTTCACCTTGTAAAAGTACTTCTTTCGTAGCTTGATTGCCATACGAATACACCTTTTAACATTTATTTTCAACATATTATCATTGAACATCTGCAAGAGATTAAATAACTACAGAAATATCAATATCCAAATTACAATAATAATAATAATAATAATATTTCCAGAAAAAAAGATTACACAACAAATACAAAGTGATATTATTTGAGAGGGCCATTTGAAAAGGGCAAAATAGAAGAAAGCAGATTAAAGCCTGGAAAACCCATTAAAACTGTTTGTAGCCTGGTCACCTGATATAAGCACAGGGACTAGTCTAGCCCAACCAAACCAAGCCTGGTTAGTGGACAGTCAGGAATGTTGGTTTAAAGGTCCAAAAAAACAGAAACCATAACACAGGTCATCACTAAGGTTTCGTTTGGGATGGTTTTTTTACTATTTCTTAAAGCATTTAAGAAATTTTTAGTAAAAAAATTAAATTTTTAAACTAAAAAATTGCTTTAAGAAACAATAAGAAAATCATCTCAAACGAGGTCTAAGGCTTCGTTTGGGATGACTTTTTTTATTGCTTCTTAAAACAGTTTTAATACAAAAAAAAATTTGTACTAGAAAGCTTCTTTAAGAAGCAGCAAAAAAGCCGTCCCAAATGAAGCCTGAGTTCAGCTCAAGACCACATTGGCATAATACTATTAAATACATTTTAAAGAAGGAAAATTTTAACACCGCCATAAGTAATACCACAGTTCATGAACTAAGACAAAATCATATGATAATCATAGGATGAAATGATCACAGAACAACCCTCATACAAATTCTTTCAATTCATAAGTGTTTAGGAACATCTGAATAAATGAAACTCGGGACCAACTTTGGACACTCAGGATTTGTAAGTGGACAAATTGGTTGACCAGAACAGAACTGGGGACCGGTGGATTCTACCAGGACCTTCCATGTGCATTAGGCAGGATCAGCCCTATCAGTAATTTTACCTGTTCATTCTGGCTAATAGACAAAAATAGCAAACTGTTTTACCTATTTTTCCTACTCAATGACATAAAAACGCCCACAAAACAATGAGAATACCTCCTTCAAACCATATAATAAGTATTATAAGGTGAGATAAAAGTATTGTAGAAAAGAACTCAACTACAGAAACACAATTACAATTTATTTGAGAGGTTGCAAGTTTTAAAAGTAGTTATAGAACTGTCGTCGTTGAAACAAATTTTCTAAAAACTGTTGCGAGTAGTATAATTTTGTTTTATTATTTTAAAAAGCTGAAAAAAAACTTCCGAATGTGATTGTAAAAAGATACTTAAAACAAAAAAAAAATTCTAAAAGGTAGCAGACAAACATTAATGTAGCAACTTTCTGAAAAGCAAAAAGAACAAAAAGCTGCCTCAAATGAATCCTAAGTGCATGTGAAACAATAGAATGAAATAATTTAAACGCAGGAGTGAGCATGCCTTGATAACATCGTCAATTGAATGAGTTTCTCTCATTATCTTTTGTCGATTAATGATAAGAATGGCAGCTACACAGAAGACAGACAATTCATCATCCCCGCTTCTTATTGGTCCACTGTCGCAAGCTTGGAGCTGATTATGTCTTGCCCAGAAAGTAGCTTTGGTAAGGCCACAGAATGGATGGCTCGAAGAGGCCCTCAGTTCATTGCTACAAGATTCCCATGTTTCATGTCTAAAACGAGAATGCACACTTTTAAATTTTCTTTTACAATTATCAGCATTTTCTTCTCCGTTTTCTGAACCAGAAACACGTACTAGCAAAGGTTCCAAGCAATTTTCTTCTAACTGCTGCACTCCAGCTTCATCAAAATCAGCAGCCCACATCATCTGTAGACATGGAAAAAAAGGAAGTTAATAACAATTGGCATGAACCAGGATAGCACATACATGATATATATAATGTTAGAAAGTCGAAAAATTATTATGTGCGGCGTCCGGATTCGTTCGGAGACCAATAAAAATGTGTCATGTCGCCCCAAAAATGTACCAGACGGGAGAACTGTCGGTGTCCACACAAAATAATATCTCAAAAAAGTCAGTAGTTCTTTTATAATTTTATTCGAGTCAATTGTCTAGTTGAAAAGCATCTTGAGCATGCTAAATGATTTGTATAAATTGAAAAGTTTATTCAAGAATCATAGAGGGAAATGCCATGGACCTCAACCACTAGCCGGACGTGCTTCTATGGTACTGTGAAGACAACAATTATGCATTGAATTATTGAAAACAGTCGAGTAAAGAAGTGCTGCTCACGTACATTGCACGCAAAACAATCTATTTCACCGAAGTCAGGTTCAGACAAACCAATTAACTGTATACCAACAAATTCAGTGATCCATTAAGGATTACCACCCTGATTGCATGAGTTAAAATGTTCAAGAAAATCCCAATGAAAATGAAAAATTTAGCAGTTAATAAAATTTAAAAGAAATAAACCTAGATTTGATGGTTTAACATCAGGAGCTTTGATCTCCTTCGTTTTATGTATCACTCACGATTTTACAATCTAATGCTAAATCTCAATCATAGGCAATCTAATTGATCTCCTACTAGATCTCACCAGTAAATTAGAGTAATAATTATTATCGATAAGGCAGTAAAAACTAAAAAGTATATTTAAGTGTTCTCTGCATGTACAGTAGAGGCCAGAGGGTAGAAAATGAACAAGCAATAAATGTAAACAAAACTAATATGAAAAGATATTAAGAAAATGTTAGGAAACACTAGCCGATCTCAAGTGTACCCTAACAAGAGAGAAAAAAACAGCGGAAAAATTCCACAAGTTTGATGAAAATCAGAGGAAAACAACATTTGTTATTGAGAAAAACAACTAACGGAAGAAACAACAAGGTACAAGTGATCCTCAATTCGAGAGGATGATCTATCTCTCCAAATCTCTAGACGAATATAGAGCCCAAGACACCAGAACAATCGACACCAAATAAGCCACCAAATCAAAGCATAACCCTAAATCTAATCCCTTCTACCTACTTAAAGCATGTAATTAACATTAAATGCAAAATTACATATTTGCCCTTGCCACCCCCTCCTTTGGCTCCAAAGTCCAAAGTATTTGATTTTGAATTAGTGAGCCCCATCTCCCTCTCCCTCTCTCTATCTTGCCACCCATCTCCTATACACCCGAACCGGCCCTTGGCAAGGGGTCGGCTGGACTGGCTCAATAGGAACCGGTCTATCAATACCCCCTCCAAAAGAATCACCTTATTCTCAAGGTGAAAAGAGGGAAACTGATGTTTCACCCTCTCATAAGGCTCCCATGTTACCTCATAATCTGGAAGGTCCTTCCACTTGATCAACACCTCCTTTTCCCCCTCCTTCATGGCCCACCCCTTTAACTCAAAGGGTTACAATATCACCTCATTGTCTTCTGTCGATGTCACTGGCAGCTCAGTACTCGTTGCATGCTTCTCCAATTGCCCTCCTTAGTTATGATACATGGAACACAGGGTGTATGATTGATGTTGCTTGCAATTTCATCCTGTATGCAATTGCTCCAATCCTTTCCAATGCCTCAAATGGCCCAAAATACCGAGGTGCAAGCTTCTCATTTCTCCTATTGGCAACGGTCTTCTGTCTGTAAGGTTGGAGTTTTAAGAACACCCTTTCCCCTTACCTCAAACTAGATGTCCTTCCTATGCCCATCGACCTGTTTCTTCATAATTTGTTGGGCCCTCAATAAGTTCCTCTTCAATTTCTCCAACACGCAGTTCTCTCCTCCAAATACTCCTCTATCAAAGAAACTGGTGTGCTTTGTTGCCCAAAATGTACTAGGTAAGGAGGGTCCCTTCCGTACAACACCATGAATGGGGCCATCTGCGAAACAAAATGATAAGAAGTGTCGTACCAATATTCTGCCCATGCTAAACCACTTGGCCCACAACTTGGGTTTCTCCGACACTGAGCATTTGAGATATGTTTCCAAACTCTTGTTGACCCCCTATGTCTAGCCATCCGTCTATGGTGGTAGGCGATGCTCCTCTTCAATACTTTCCCTTGTAGTCTGAACAACTCCCTCCAGAAATGGTTGAGGAACACCTTATCCCTGTCAGATACTATAGACTCTGCCACTCTGGTAGTCCATATAATCTGACCACCTCTTTGATGAAAGTTGATGCTATTGTTACTGCTGTGTATGGATGTCATAGGGAAATGAAATGAGCTTACTTGCTTAATCTGTCTACCACCACCAGAATCATTGTGAACCCTTCTGATTGAGGTAGTCCATCTATAAAGTCCATGAATGCCTCTTCCCACACCCGACCTGGCAAAGCTAAAGATTGTAGTAATCCTCCTAGAGACATGACCATGTACTTGTTCCTCTAATAGATCTCATATATGGCTATCATCTCCTCCATATCCTTATGCATCCCCTTCAAGTACAATTCTTAGGCTAATTTCTTGTACGTCTTCTGCACCGCAAAATGACCCCCAACAGCACTCTGATGGAACTCCTGGAGCAAGTGTGGGATGTGAACTGATGTCTTAAGCACTAAAAATCTCCCCTGGTACAGAAGCCTCTCTCCTTACAACGAATACCCTGGGTGGCTACCCTCCTTCAATAAATCCACCATAATCTTCCCCAACTCTTCATCACGTGCACTCTCATTCTTAATGCCCACCTAATCCAACATCAATGATATCAACAGTGTCATCGCCTGTAGCTCCCCCATACATCTGGACAAGGAATCTTCCGCCTTATTCTCCAATCATGGCGTGTACTGGATTTGAAAATCATATCATAGCAATTTGGACAACCACCTCTAATGCTCCTTTATCACCATCCGTTGCTCCAACAAATACTTCAAGCCCTACTAGTATGTCATGACGATGAAATGCCTACCTAATAATTAGGGCTGCCACTTCTAGATGGCTAGCACGATAGCTATCAACTCCCTCTCATAAACTGATTTCAGCCTGGCTCTAGCTATCAACGCCCGGATGAAATATGCAATAGGACGACGGTTCTGCATGAGTGCTGCCCCCAACTCATATCCTGAGGCATTTTCTCTACTATGAAGACCTGAATGAGGTCCGGTAGGGCTAAGACTGATACAGTAGTTATGGCCTTTTCAAGCTCTCAAAGATTGTTGTGATCACCTCCCCCCATAGAAAATCATCCTTCTTCAATTGTTCTATTAGTGGTCATGCAATGGTGTTGTACACCTTCATGAACCTCCAGTAGTATCATGTCAGTCTTAGGAATCCTCTCAGCTCCTTGAGATTCTTAGGCACTGGCCATCTCAACATAGCTTTAATTTTTATTTGATATGCTTCCACCCCCTCCTTAGACACAATATGCCCCAATTATTACACATTGGCCTGGGCAAAACAACATTTTTTCAGGTTGGCCCTCAAACAGTGCCCCTACAACACCTCTAGCACCCTCCTCAAGTTCTCCGAGTGCTCCTCATCTATCCGGCTGTAAAATAGGATATCGTCAAAGAGTACCAATACGAACTACCTGAGATAGGGTCTGAAGACCTAGTTCATGAGAGACTGAAATGTGGCTGGAGCGTTAGTGAGGTTATAAGGCATCACTAGGAACTCATAATACCCTTCATGAGTTCTGAAAGCAGTCTTGAGCACATCTTCTTTCCTTATCCTGATCTGATGATACCCAGACTTCATATCTCTTTTGGTAAAGATAACTGTCCCACTCAACTCATCCAACAGCTCATCGATCACTGGTATAGAAAACTTGTCTGGCACAATCTCCATATTTATTGTCTTGTAATCCACACAAAACCTCCAAGTCCCATTTTTTTTCTTAACCAGTAAGATTAGGCTAGAAAAAAGACGAAGACTGGGCCTGATAATCTTTACCTCTAACATCTCTTTAATCAACTTTTCAATCTCATCCTTTGAAATTAAGGATAGCGGTAGGGCCTGACGCTAATAGGTGACACACCTTCCCTCAAGGTGATAGCATGCTTTTGCTCCCTTAGTGGTGGCAATCCCTGAGGTGCTTAAAAAATCTCATGGAATTGATGAATCAACGGTTGTACTCCCTCCAATCTATGTAGCTCCACCATAAATCCTTCCCCCACCTCTTTTATACTTCTCACCGTGGTTTTAAGAGATACCATAGCTTTGGAGAGCCCTACATCTCCCCTTATCACTACCCTTCTCCCATCCACCACCAACGCCATCATGAGTGCTCCCCAATTAACTTTGGTGTCACCCAAGGGTTGCAACCACTTCATCCTAGGATAACATCAATGCTTCCAACTACAGTGGAAGAAAATCCTCTCTCACTTGAATCCCTTGTATGGTCAACAACACTCTTCTACAATCCCCTAGCCTTTCTCCATCTTCCATATGCCCATCATCACCCCATAAAAACATGTATCCACCAATTTCATTCTGTATTGGTCGACGTCATGTGTGAAAAAGGACATTGTAGGTAGCTCCACTGTCAATCAGCACCACTACGTCCCTGTCCTCTATCTCCCCCCTTCACCTTCATGGTATGATTCAGAGTGAATCCTACCACTGAGTTCAAGGAAACCACTGCTAAGTCCAGATGCAACTTATCCTCCATCTCTCCCCTCCACCTCGCTCTCACCTCCCTCTTCAGCTTTCTCGCCATCACAGACAGTGAGAACCTGAAGAGTTTGATCCCTACACCTGTGTCCTGGAGTATACTTCTCATCACATTTGAAGCATAGCCCCTCTCTTCTCCTGCATCTCCCTCTCTGTAAGCCTTTCGAAGCTGCCCCCACTTCCTCCTCCTGCTAGCTTTTCCCTGGGAGTCTCTCGAATATGGCCTCCTGCAGGACCCTTTGGGTGCTAGGAGTAGTAGTCTTCCTGTAAGAGCCACCTGTATTGCTGCCTCTAGCTCCCCTCTCCTAGTACTTCTGATCTTCCACCAATTGTGTCAACTATATTTCCTCTCCCAAATCACGAGGCCTCATGACCCTCACTGCATCTTTGATCTCGGATATAAGTCCCTTCATGAAGTTTTCCTCCAATGCAGTCTTTGATAGTCGCTCCACCTGACTGGCCAGGTGCTCAAATCGCTCGTGGTAGCCTGCCACCGATCCGTCCTGCACTAGTGCAAATAACTGCTCATAAAAGTCCCCTCCCCTGCCGATTCGGAAATGTTCTAATAGTTATTCCTTGAACTCCCTCCAACTCCATATGAATCTCCTCTGGTCTCTCCATTGATACCATGATAGCACCTTCCCCTCCAAACATAAGCCCGCTACTGTCAATTTCTCCCCTTCAGTTAACCCATTGACGGCGAAATATCTCTCAACCTTGTAGATCCATTCGCGTGCATCCTCCCTTTTGAAAATGGACATCTTCAGCTTCCTCACCGTCGGATCTCCCTTGTTTTCCCGTATTCCTCCATAATTTCTTCTTTCCCACGTGCTCGGCTCCCCCCAAGTCTCCCAATCTTCCCTTCCACGCTCGCACCCAAACCCCTCTTCACTTTCTCCCCTCTTTTCTTCAAAATCAGCACCCCTCCTACTAAGAACCCCTTATTTTCTCTCTCAAACAGCACCCCTTGGTACATACCTCTCATAACCACGCCTCTCTCCAAACTTTCCACCCCTCTCCTCAAGGATCTCCACATTATTTTCCCTCCTACAAATTTCAGAATTTGTATTTCTTCCACCCGATCCCTTGCCTCCGATGCCGCCGTTTGATTTTTATTATCCAATATCTTCTTCACCATTTCATGAAGATTGGAAACCTTGTCTTCCACAGATGAAATTCAGTCCTCCACTATTGTTTTTATTTGACTCATCTCCCCTTCAAGTCTCTCTTCCAACGCATTTCTTGGCCGTCATCAATCCCCGGATTTTTATAGATTCAAAAATCTGGATTTTGACCACAATAAACAACAATTTACACTTTCACCGGCCCAAAAACAGCCCACCAATGATCCCAAAATTTGCTCTGATACCAATTTGTTAGGAAAAACTTGCATATCTCAGGTGTACCCTAACAAGAGAGACAAAAACAGTAAGAAAACTCCACAAGTTTGAGGAAAATTAGAGTAAAACAACAATTTTATTATAAAAAATAACTAATGGAAAAAACAACAAGGTACAAGTGATCCTCAATTCGAGAGGAGAATCAATCTCTCCAAATCTCTAGATAAATCTAGAGCCCAAGATACCAAGAACAATGGACACCAAATCAGCCACCAAATCAAAGCATAACTCTAACCCTAATCCCTTCTTCCTACTTAAAGCATTTTCCCTAGCCGCCCCCTCCTTTGATTCCAAAGTATTTGAATTTGAATTAGTGGGCCCCATCTCCCTCTCCCTCTCTCTTGCCGCCTGTCTCCTATACACCTGAGCCGGCCCTTGGCAAGGGGCCGGCTGGACTAGTTCAATAGGTCTATCAGAAAAATAGGTAAGACTTAAAAAGTAACATGCACGAAATAGATAAAATACGTCAAGTAGCACTCAAATGGAAAAAAGTGTAGTTGGCCCCAAATTGTTGAAGAAGGCTAATTACCATGATGAAGTGTGTAGAATATTTTTAGTTTTATGTTATCCGTTTACATTAATTTTTTAAAATAGAAGCAAAGGCCATTGTCCGAAGTGCTTGATTTGCATAAAGGTTTAAGTCAAGGAAATCAGTGTCCAAATAATATTATGTGAAAGCAATTTATTCAAGCCACATACCTCCCACATAAATAATACTTCGCTGAACGAAAGCTCACGACGAAAAAGTACCAGTAACATCCGAAAAGCAAAATGAAGGCTCTCAGCTCCAATGACAGTCAGATGTTCAAACAATACAGCATCTGTCCTTTCCAAAATTTTCCATACAGCTTGCAATTGCTTCATTACTCCAGTAGGTCCTTCCATTTGGAAATTTTCACGCTGTACATAATACCAAAGAGGGAATTAAAACAAATGCAGATAGCAGAAAATTCTGCACGGAAACAGGGTTACCATTCTCCTCAGAAGCATCTCAAAACACCAAAAGGCATCTGCATTATCCTCATATAGCACAACAAAAGGAGAGAGCAAATCGCTCATACCTAACAATACCATCACGGTTAAAATAACAAAAAAAAAGTCTAGTTTTACCACAAAACTTTAAATTATAAACAAAGAAGAATGGAGGTAATTGGTTACCTTGGCAGTATCCCGTGGCTGGATCAATCCATGCATAAACAGCAAGGATATCTGACATTCTAGCTATATTTTTTGAATCTCCATAGAATTCAAGTTGGCTATCGGTTCTAACTACATCAACAACTGAAAAAATATAATCAGGCTGTATGAACATTAAGGTAACAAGAACTATTGGCAGGAAGAAAATGGAGCATTACCGATGCGATGGAGAGTCCACAACCACTCAGAAACTCTTTGATCACGAGCAACTCCAATTGATGTGGTTGCTTCTGCCTTAGCTCCACCTGAAGCATCTGAAATCCTTAGTTTACTGACAGCTTCATTTTTGTATCCAGATTCTTTTGGCGTCCTGGCTAGCTCATTAATACATGTATTAAAAAACTCAGTTCCATGGCTGCTTGCTCTAAATAGACGAAGACCATTAGTAGGATCATTTGATTCCATTATAAGATCCACATTATTATTAATTTGAAAGCTATGCATGCGTTCATCCCTGAATCTGAATGTACGTTTAGAGACAGATAAACTATCATCATGCAGTTCACTTCCATTGTCATCTGCATTATCCTTTGCAAATAAATTTGTAACAGGAAGAGGAGGGAAATCATAAAAGCTTTCAGCTTCATATTGGAATTCATGCAATTCAGTTTCAGGTTCTTCTGACAAGTTATATTCCAAAGAAGCTGGCGCGGTGCAGGAAGAATGGCGGGCAGCACTACCTGAGCTCATCCTAACACTGTATAGTTCAACTGAATTGCTAGATTTTCGTTTTTGATGCCGATATGATGTATCCATAAAACCATTATTCAGACCTGAGTCTATAGAATTAGTAGCATCCTCAGAAGCTCGACCAATAGTGGTCATTGCCTCATTTGAGTCATTATATTTAGATGAAGTCCTCATATCCATCACTTTGGACCCAACAACGTAAGCAAGAGTTCCAGTACCAATACTAGAGTGCATGGTTTGACATTGCCTGATCAAATCATCATAACGTTCCCTGTACAAAAAAATTACTGTGAATACACACAGACGTAAATCTATGGTAGAAGTGGTGCATTAATTTTATAGTGTTGAAAAAACAAATAGGTTAATGATACTGAATAAATAAATCAACCTCCTTATCAGCATGTTAAAATAGGTTAATGATACAAGACGTTTTACATTATACCAACCATGTTAAATTTTCTGAACAGTAAGGAAAAAAGATGATAATGTATATTTGAAGGTAAAATCTACAATAATCTTTATAAAGGCAAAATTGTAAAATGTTGAGCAGTCAAATAAAACATTTGCTAAAATACGAAAAAAAAAATAATAATAATAATCAAAACAAAACCTCCGAGCGATTCTCAGGTGCCTCCTGTAATCTGCAGTGCTGCTCAAAGCATAGCATCCAAGAAGAAACTCCCACACTTCAGCTCTTATGGAAGGATCCACGCCCTGATAGTGGGGAAAAAGCAATAGCTTAAAAATAACGAATGTGTATTTTACTCGATGAGAGAGGGAAAAAATTCAAATAACTGTTCAAAAAAAAAAACTTGCAAAGAGTAAACCGCAGATCAAACACATTGTGACATTCTGGAAAAACAAGATACCAAGATGTCCGGCAAAGGATAACAGCCTTGCCAAATTTGGGAACAAAATAAAAACTAAAATAATTCTGATAAGTTTTAGGAGTTAATGAATCCGTCAGAGATTAAAGAGGAAATGTAAATTCTATTATTAGACCCATAACCTAGCCTAGAGATCTGCTAGCTGATCACTTCAAAGAGACTATACTTTGGTAAAGAAATAACATCAATTTGGTGTTACACAACCCAATACAATTTTCTATCTTAGCCAAGCTTCAGTATCACAGCAGATACATGGATAGACATAACCCAAATATATGAATATAAGTTACTCAGAGCCAAGTTGATCCAACGAGAAGGGCTAATTTAGCTCTGATTTAAAAAAAAGAAAAAGACCAATTTTCAGTTGGGTTGGATTCACAAGGAGTCCACCACAAGTAAGTAAACTGAGCTTCTCGGGTCTACATACAATCATACTTTCATGCCAAAAGCAAAACTTGTCAAAAAAAAAGAGATGCACCAAAAAAAATTTAGAACATGGCATCTAGGATGGGCTTCTTTGTTACAAATCCTAGGAAGTGACAGCATAACTTAAGAATGACACAGAGCAAATTCAAATACCAAAACAGTGTGTTAATACAAAATAACTTACTCCCAATATGATCAATTTAAGTGCTTTCTGGAAACCTAGAACCTTCCCGTCACCATCAAAAACTGCTTGCCACTTTTCTGGGTTGAGCATCTTACTTCTCTGTGTCATCAGAAGTTTTAAGAATGAAAGGCAAATAAGTAGTTAACAAAGTTCAAATTTGTTACTCGAGAACAATCAATTGCTTTCCAAGTAATCTGCAAATGACAGATCTCAGATGGCTGATTTGTCCAAGTAAATTGTAGAAGAACAGTTTAAACCATTATATCATCATCCTCAAGAGCCACAATATGACGAAAAAAATGGACTTAAAACAAGAATATCTCATTATAAGGATCCAAAACATTGCTTCGCTATTTTAACCAAAAAGAAACATAATAGAAGATACATTGTAAGAAAAAAACCATTTCCTAAAGATCGACTAACAAATCAGATGCTATGCTAGTATTAGGAGAGACAGAGTATCATACCTTATCCATATTAGCATCATACCCAATAGTAAGCTTTCTGGAATTTCTTTGTTCCTGATGTATGTGAAATGCGTGGTAAAAGCATATTAACAGACATGTTGAACTACCTTTTCTACAATGGTCAGTTGGTTGTTACGACATCCATTAATAAAGAGTTTCAAGTTAAAATCTGATGAAAATTGATTATCTAGGCCATGACAACAGTCAGAAATCAGTTTCCAGTTTCTTTTGGATGGAGGGAGGTAATGATATCAAAAGTTTTTAAAGTAATAAAAATTTTAGAGATACTCATATTGACAACTATGGCCACCGCGCAGATAACATTTAATGAGCAAGCACAATATTATCACCAAAGTTTACTTCCAAGAACCGTCTCACCATAACATAGAATGGTTATTGCTTACTACTGCAAGAATATCTACTCATTTTGAATGAACTCCTCCAAGCGTTAATGACTTTTTGAGAGCCAATTTCATTCAAGCAATCCATCGTAAACAATTATCATCACCATTAGCCTTATCACAACATTTCAAGTTGTTTCAATGAATCATCCACCTCCAAAAATTCTTATTGTCACATGAAATTTTAACTCTATTTCACCATTTTTATTGTCACATGAAATTTTAACTCTATTTCACCAATCTCTATGCACAATTTTGAGGAATATCCCTTAAGACTATTAATTTTCCTTTGCAATCCTTTCACATTAATTCTATTCACCCACCTTATTGGTGCATCTTCAACCTTTCATGGTGCATACATAGCTATATAAATATATTTTTCAAGCATAAACAGAAGACTCCCAGCTCAATAATGAACTAGATATTATTTTGCTAAGCTCAATAGTCACAAATCAAGTATATTAAAATCACATCCCATTCATGTTCCACTTTTTCAATACCCCTAGTTAAAGTAGCAATAACAATAGTAGCAAGGATTCAACACTTCCAAGAAAGTAATAAACAATATTAAAAAAAAAGGAAAAAGTACATGAAGCAGGGCAACTTTGCCCAAGATCTAATAATTATCCCTATATGCAAACGAGACACAATATCATCTAATTTTATATCTCGAGTTTCATACTATCTTGCTAATCAACCACACAAGTATCCTCATAAATGTTGAAGATTAAGATAACTGAAAATAATCATAGGCAGTGGCATGAAAAACTAACAATAAAAATGCACTAATTAGATAAGTAAATATAATTAATATCAGATAATTATAAAAAAGTGATAAAGCTAAAATAGTATGGATAAAAATTGTCCTAAATGATTTGAAAAAAAAAATTATTTAACACCTAGAACGCACTAAGAATTCATAAAGTATACCACAAATAGTTGGAACAAGACTAATAATGATAATAATTGTTAAAGTAACCCAAGCAATTTTCCTATGTGATGAATTTTATTTATCACTTCTTTCAGCAAGAATGAAAGCTCACCAGTCACCTTTTTAACTTCGCACTAATGAAAAAGACAAGTTGTCTTTTTATTTAGAGCAAATCCTATTGCCTCTCTTTTGCGCAACCAAAGAAAGAAAAACCGCAGTAAGACTGCTAGAGGGTAGGCAAGCATAAGGATAGGAATTAAAATAATGATCAGAGTGGCTGTTCGCTTGCTAAAACAAAATGCAAAAAGGAGTAGTCAAAAACTTAAATGACCAATATACAAGGTTTGGTGGGGCCAAATGGATCAATGGCCTGTTCAAGGCAAGCTTAATAACAGATCCTCATTATGTTTGCTAAATAAGAGAAAGATTTGAAAACCTTTTTTAAGCTATTGTATATTTTAAGCTTAAGTTCCCATAGCCTTCAATTATCATTCAAAATTATATTTCCTGGACAACATTATTGTATCAAGTATCTAAGTAACTAAAATCCAAAAGAGTCCCATGTTCGATAGTCAGACACAAGAAAAACCACACACAATTTATTTACTTGCATTCTTTTAGGTGTATACATAATATTATGTTTAAATGCAAGTCCAAATGGATCAACAACCTATTCTTGGCAAGCATACTAACACGTCCTCATTATGTTGGCTCAATAAGAGAAAGCTTTGCAGACCTTTTTTAAACTATTGTCAATTTTAAGCTTAACTGCCCATAGCATTCAATTATCATTAAAAATTGTATTTCCTCGATAACATTATTGAATAAGTTATCTACGTAACTAAAATTCAAAAGAGTCCCATGCTCAAGTCCTTTACTAACATTAGTCAGACACAAGAAAAAAAGTATGCCTTGCACAAATTGTAAAATAAATACTATTGTATTTTTTATTAGAAAACATCTAACCATCATGTTCTTGAGATTAAGAGAGGGAAAAGACCCTGACTATGTTATTTTTCATTAAAATTTTATTTCTGTTGAAAAGAAAATGAGATAATTGAAATCTGTATAAATAGTAAAATTTTGAGAAATGTTCTCAAAACAAGTGGGAAGGAAAAAATACAACAACAACAACAACAACATCAAGCCTTTATCCCACTATGTGGGGTCGGCTACATGAATCTTTTTCTTCATTGTGTCATGTTAAGAGTCAAATTCTTATTTAAATCTAATAAAGAAAAGTCATTTCTAATATTTTCTAACCAAGTCTTCTTAGGTTTACCTCTACCTTTCCTAACATAAGCCAAATCTAATACATTTACTCTCCTAACTAGGTCATCGGAAGGCAGCCGTTTTATGTAATCAAACCATCTAAGGCGACTTTCTCTAATCTTATTTGCCACTGGAGCTACTCAAACCTTTTCACGCATAAGCTCATTTTGTATCCAGTCTCTAAGAGTAAAACCACTCATCCACCTGAGCATCCTCATTTCTGCAACACTTAACTTAATATTATGTTTCTCTTTTAATGGCCAATATTCTACGCCATAAAACATTACAGGTCTAACCACTATCTTATAGAATTTTTTCTTAAGTTTAAGGGGTACTTTTCTATCACACAACAAGTCTGATGCATTCCTCCACTTCAACCATCCAACTTGAATTATACTAATAATATTTCCATCTATTTCAACATCACTCTAAACAATAGACCCATGATATCTACAACATGTACTCTTATTAATGACTTGCTTGTCAAAAGTCACAATCCCCTACTAGATCTATTACTAGTTTACTACTAAAATTACACTACATGTATTCAATTTTAGATCTACTCAAATGAAAACCTTTGGACTCTAAGGTTGACATCCATAATTCAAGTATACCTTCAACTCCCTCTCTAGTGTTATCAGCAAGAAGAATATCATTAGCAAAAAGCATACACCGGTGTACATCCTCTTGTAAATGTCTAGTAATAACATCCATGACTATAGCAAAAAAAATATGGGCTTAAGGCTGATCCTTGACATAATCCAACTAAAATAGAAAAATACTTGGTCAAACCATCTTGTGTTTGAACACAAGTAACATCTCCAGCATAAATATCCTTAATAACTTGAATATAAACAATATTAAATACTTTCTTTTCTAAACCCCTCCATAGCACTTCTCTTGCAACTTTATTATATGTTTTCTTTGTATCAATAAATATCATATGTAGATCCTCATTCTCTCTATACTTCTCCATCAAACCTCTCAATAAATGTATAGCTTCCATAGTTGACCTACCTGGCATGAATCCAAATTGATTTTGAGAAACATTTGTATCACAACATAATTTATGCTCCATAACTCTCTCCCAAAGTTTTAAAGTATGAAAATTAACTTAATTCCTCTATAATTCGTACAGTCTTGTGCATCATTTTTATTCTTAAAAATAGGAGTAAACATACTCATTCTCCACTCATCTAGCATATTTTTTATCTTCAAAATAATATTAAAAAAGTTGGTAAGCCAACAAATTCTTTCATCTCCTAAGTATTTTCACACCTCTATTGAAATATCATCATGTTCAATTGTTTTTCCACACTTCATTTTCTTTAAAGACTTTCTAGCTTTGGTTTTACTAATATGCTGATAAAAATAAAAATCTTTATTTTCATTTAGAGTGCTAAAGTCACTAAAGTCAATCGTATTATCGCAATCTTCATTGAAAAGTTTAGCAAAATTTCTCTTCCACCTTTGTTGAATATCCTCGTCTAATAAAACCACTTTTTGATCTTCATCCTTAATGTACTTCACTTACACAGTTACACTAAATCCTTATTGCTCCTCTCTCTTGTTTGGCTAACTTATACATGTATATTTTCCGCCCTTTTAGCATCTAATTTATTATATAAATCCTTAAAAGCTAAATTTTTGCAAAGTATATTGCTTTCTTAGACAGTTAGACTCCTTACTGTACTCTTTATAACTTTTCTAATTTTCAGAGTATTAACATTTAAACCAATTCTTATAACAAAGTTTCTTATTTTTTATATTTTCTTGCACATTTGATTCCACCTCCAACTATTTTTACTATTTGGAGCTTTTACTTTCGATACTCCAAGCACATCCTTGGGGCATACGGATGGCTTTCATTTTGTTTCACTCACTCACTCACTTTCCATGAATCCAATCATAGCTTAGGGATCCATGTCTCATATATCAACTTCTATTAAAAATCCAGCATCATAATTCAACAATTAAGGATAAATATTGTGCAAACTTCAAAGCAGCCTGACATGCCGTAAAACCTGTTCTATTTTTAGTGCAAAAAAGGTTATGGGAAGCCATAAACATGGTCATAGAGCTGTGTAACAAACAAAATCTGCTAAACATAGTATCCAATTTTCCTTAAATTTCAACTTCTGCTTCTATTATGTATGTCATATAAAAGAAGAAAAAACGGTTACACGTTAGTAATAAGGAATCCAATAACCAAATCTAAAATTAGAAAACTTCATAAACCAAATTCACCTCTAAGGGAAACAAATCAATTTGAACTTCTTTCAATCGTTGACAAAACAAGAGACGAAACACAAATCAACAGAGACTGCAGAAACGGAGTCTACTAACTAATGTTGAGTTCAGACTGACCCTGGTTGCGGAGTGATAAAGACATGGCTCCCGAATCTCCTTCACGATCGAGCTCACCATCTGCAGATGCACCACTGCGCCGCTCCCGCACGTACATCTCGTATCCTCCCTGCCGACGGGCATCGGCTCTCTGCTCTTCCCCTTCCTCTTCCCCCTCCTCCCCCTTACTTCCTGAAACCAAACAAAACACATTACTCTCAATTACATCATCCAAACAAAATCGGCAGCGAATAAAAAACCCTTGGATTTCGAATAACCGTCGTTTGACGACACAAACCACATCGAAGGTCAGGCGAACAGTGAAAGAGAAACAACTGGAGGCACTTTGTATCTGGATAAAAACTGCAAGCACTTGAGGACCGATCGAAATTCGTATAATAGATCGCGTTCAGGAAGATCGATTGGTATCAGAGAGACCGATACTAGTCCAAGATCGCTCGAGAGGGAGTTCAGCAATCGTACAAGTGAACTAGTGGATCAGTCTTCTATAACTTAGCAGGCTTTAGGGATTCTTGGCGCTGGAAGCCAGCCATCGAACTAAGGCGGCTTTGCATCACGAACAGAGAGAGAGAGAGAGAGAGAGAGAGAGAGACGTTTATTTTCTCCACTGCTCCACCTTCCCTCTGCGGCAAGCCTTTTTTTTAATATTTTTCTATATTGTTAAATAAGGAAAAAAATGATGACTGCGAGAAGAAACGGACTGCAGGGCTCTCTCGGAAGTGAAGCATACGGAGCAGTTTCAGCCGGCCGGTTTATCTAGTAGGTCCCACTCGGCCGGTTGTTTTGGACCGTTACAGAACTGGGCTTAGGCCTTTGTTTCAGGAGATAGATCCGAAATCAAATATAAAGATAATATATTTTTTTTAATTAATTTTTATTTGGTATATTCGAAAGACAATATTAAGCTCTACTATATTCACCATGATATCATATCTCTCTTGTCATAATCATGTTGTATTATTTTTCGGGCAGTTTATGTGACTCGAGTTGATGTTTTTTTTTTTTTTTTTTTTTTTTTTTTTTTGGGACATTTAGGCCATTTAAGGCAAACTCACACACACAACGCATACACATAGACTCGAACCCTGGACCTCTTAGTTGGAAGCCTAAGCTCTCAACCAATAGGCCAAGGAGAGTTGTGTGTACTCGAGTTGATGTTAGTGTGAGGAATTCATCACTTCACCATACACTCGCCATTATAATCATGTTATATCATCTATTCATTATGGATGTCTCATTTATTGAGAAAAATCATAAATGTTGATATTTGAATGTGCACTAGGTGTGGATGCAACTCACATAAAATATAAGATTCAGTATTGCATTTAACACTTCGAGTGAGTCATCGTCAACTCATTTTTTTTTTCCGGTTATTAACATAAGTAGTTATAATAAATAATGATATGTCACTAAAAATCATCTTGATCCAAAAATAATCATGATTTATATTCTAGTTTGTAACTTTCAAAATTAAATGTGGGATTATATGAACTCCAATTTCAGAACATTTATAGTCAAATTAAACGTCTCAGTGAGATGGACTCAACAACACCAAAATCGGTCTAATCAGAGCCCAAATAGGCTCAAATCAATATCTTAAAGCATATTTAGAATATCCAAAGCATTAATTGGATGACCAAATAATATCCAAATATGGCATGCGCATACTCGAATCAAGCGGCTCGATGAGATGAATCCAATGATCTCAAGATTGCTTAATTCTAACATCATTAAGACACATAAATACTAAACAAATGATTCATGAACGAGGAAATCAATATGAGTCTTCCAATAGAGCACTACAAAATTACTGTATATCTTCTTCATATTTACATAGCATGTCACTCTAAAAATCTATAAATAGACTTCCGGTAAGAGCTTCCTGGACGGTCAGGACTCCATTGCATGTTTAACAGCAATACACTAGTGGCTATTTAATTTTTTGTATTTAAAATGAATGCATTTTTAAAATATAAAGCAAAAGGGAAAAAATCAGGACTTTTGCTTATAAACTCAGACACACATCATATACGTAAGCTTTAAATTCAATATATATTAGTTGATAGTCAAAACTCCTAACCAACAGATCAAGATGAGTTGCATGGATATAATTTATATTGATTTAGAGACTTGTTTGATTTGATGTAAAATAAATATTAAAAATATATATGTACACGTTGAAATATATTTTAAATATAATGAAAATAATATATTTCTTTCTCTTTGATATCTAATGAGGGCAGGGCAACGGGGGCAATATAGTCAACAATTACAAATGTGAGGGTTGACACTTGACAGTGATGGTGTAAGGGACAACGATGATGGTATAAATGATTTGAAGTTTGGGAATGACAATAGTGGGTTCACAATCATTGGATAAAGACGACAAAGTTAGGGATGATAATGGAGAGAGTGGGGGTTGAGGACAGTCGCTTTGGGATTGTGATGATTATTGAAATGATATATTTGGGATGTAGGTTTGCAGGGGTGGAATCACTATAGCGGCAAGGGGGGGGGCTATTAAGTAATTTTCCCCTCCAATATGTTAAAACTTGCCTAATATCTGATTTTTCCGCCAGATTCAGCCCTATTCCGCCTAAAGCCGAACATAACACCTCTCCTTCTCCTCTGAAAACTCCGAAAGAGATCTCCCTTTGCCATCTCTGACTCTCTGCTTGAATTTTCTTTCTTGACGTTTGAATCGGGGAGGCGACCGGAGAGGACTCCATTTTTCATCATTCTAAGGTGCTCTGATAAGTCTTCTTCATGACTTCTTTGGTTCTTCCGCCGATTTCTTCAGTTCTACTTTTTTTTTTTTTTTTTTGTATTTGGATAAAGAATATTGCATGCTTATTTTTGTTAATCTCCACTCCAACTTCCATCTTTAGCAATTGCTTCTTTTTCAATGTGCCCTTGCCTTTTTTATTTCTTAAATTTTGTAACCTTTTTTAGAATAAATCCACTGTGAAAGATTCAAACATGTTTATTATTAATCATCGGCCATGAAAAATAGCAAAATTTGAAACTGGGCGGGAAAGACAAGGGGAATATCAAGCCCATGAAATATTTTTTTTTTCTTTGTATTAAGAGACGTAAGAGAGACTTTGATTCTCAATGAAAATGCAATCTAATATTATAAAAAAATGCAAAATAGATTAATAAAATTATAATGATTTTCAATTTTCCTATTATAATGGAATACAATATTCCACTATGAGTTATGTCCTTTTTTTTACATTAGTCTATTAATAAGAAAAATTTACCGCTCCCACCCAAGATGAAAGGCTGGTTCCGCCCCTGGGTGGGCTCAAGGGCAATGATAGTAGGATTTCCGATTCAAGGATGGTGAATTTGAGGACATCACACCTAGCAATGGTTAAGCTAGAAATTTTTTTTTATTGTGAACAAATTAACTATTTTTAAAATATTATTAGTTTTTTATAGGTATTTATATTTCTAAATTCAAAAATTCTCGAGCAGAGGCGCAAATTAAATGATTTTGTGAAAATTATATTTATGAGCAAAAATATATATGATATATAAAAACATTTAAAAACATTTGGGGCAGAGGACACACACCCTTAAATCCACTCTTGCAAGTAGTAGTGAGGTCTGAGAAATTGCAGGCCTTGGTATATTTAAAATTCGCCTAATTTTTTTAACTTTGATGAAATCAACTTTTCCCCATAGAAATTTTATAGTACATTTCCCTCTTTGAAAATTCATTCTGTTTATTTAATCAATTTGTTCATATTTTTGTCTTCTAGTCCAAATTATATTGATATAATTTCACACTTTTTCTTAGAAATTTATCTATAGAGATAATTTATTGAAACTCTTAACTTTTTTTGTTAGCTCAAAGAACTATGGTGACAATTTCTTTTTGCACAATTAATCTGTAAATATTTCATAAAAATTCCATCTTATAAAAACTATAAAGTTTTATCACATCCTCTGTCAATCTACTTGCAAAAAAATTTTTGTATGTAATTGTATGGAGATAAGAGATATAATTATTCAACATAATATGGTACAATTACATACATAACATCTAATTTTAGTTATTTCCAAAATTATCATCACCTTACTTCCATTTCTGAAACTGGAACTAAAATATCAAAATCTACAATAAAACCCTAATATGTATTTTCTTTTTCTTTTTTATCAAAACCCTAACAATTTGATAAAAAAAATTCCTTAACGATTTGATCGTAGCACTGGCTAGGGGTGTAAACGAGTCGAGTTTAGACCTTATCGAGCACGGCTCGTTAGTCGAAAAGCGAGCTCGACCTCGACCTCGAGCTCGTCCCACTGTAAGTGAGCTCGAGCCGGCTTGCGAGCAATGGACGGGATTTTTAAAATTTAGATGAGATTTTTAAAAATTAGGTGAGATTTTTAAACTTAGGCGGGATTTAGAAAAAAAATTCAATATTTAACATTTAAATAAAACTTATTCATTTTTTTAATATTCAAATTTAATAAATAAAATAAATTATTTTTTTTCAAGCCAGCTCAACCATGAACCCGTGCTCATTTAGTAAACAAGCTCGAGTTCGAGCTCGAGCTCGAGCTCAGCTCGTTAGCTCGATAAACTCGACTCGCGAGCTCATAAACGAGTCGAGCTCGAGCCAGCTCGGCTCACTTACACCCCTAGCACCGGCGAATACGTGATTTCGATAGTTAAAAACACAAAAGAATGATAATTTTATAAATAATCAAATTAAAGTGTTACATACATAATTCCCCGATTGACAATTATAAGCTGATCTTAAATTATATAATTTTTATTATTTTTTTAATCGTACAATCAAAATAGTTTTCTAGAATGCCAATGACTCAATGAGGTCACTTTCGCACTTAATATGACTTGGTAAACAAAAGTGACGTGTTGATTATTTGATCTGATAATTTTCCATTGTCGTATTGTCAAACATTGGATGTCTTGCAGCTTTGACGAAGTTCATATATTTTCTTAATATTTTATATTATAATGAGTTTTAAAATTATTAAATTGACGGCAAAATAATTAATATCTTAATTTTATATAATTATTCAACACATAAATATATATATATATATATATATTTATTTTTTTCTATAATATATATTACAAATAGTAAATTATTTATGTTAGCAAAATAACTCAATTTAATTCAGCAGGCTAAAAAAGATTGATCTCAGAGGACAATCATATCAGAATAAACTAATTATTAGTTGCATGTGGCTTCATCTCATATATAAAAAACTCTAATGTATATTTTATGTAATTAAATATATATAATTAGTATATATATCTTCTTCTTTTTTTTAAATAAGGAATGTTTTATATCATAAAAAAAGAAAGGTTACAACCAAAACAAAAAATAAAAATAAAGATTACAAAACAATAACAGAGAGAATAGACTCGAAAATAAAAAATACAAACAAGTCAATCGGGCTCTGTAATTGGCACAACTCTCCCAATCACCCAAACATTAGGCACTGACCATCCAAAGAAGAGAATAAGCTACAATCCATCAAAAAGTCAAACAACAAACAACACTCGAAATAAGGCCACCAAAAGAACAAGAAGATCAACCACCAATGGTTGCCAAGCCACAGAGCCCTGGTGGTGAGCCAAAAGCCACATCAATACATCATAGCCCGTAAATGAGACTAAACATCTAAAGATC